GGTGTAATAGCAGCAGCAGGTACATACATCAATGTGTGTGTGTGTGTGTGTGTGTGTGTGTGTGTGTGTGTGTGCTGCTCCAAAATGAAAAAAAAAAAAAGGAATCAGAGAAGATCCCTGTGATGTGTTTGTGTTCCTCAGTGGCCCTGGGTTGAACTGCGGCTCATAAATTCCAAACATGATGTAGCTCTGGCCCTGTTATTCTTTGTGCTCCCAGTGCAGAGCTCAAGCCTGAAAGTCTCATCTCCCGATGAGAAGGGGAACAACGAGCCGGCTATGTTTTTACAAGATGAGGAAGAAGGATGTGGGGGGGTGGGGTGGGGGGAATCATTCCCTCCTTCCATTGCTCTTTTTATCCACCATTCATTTGCTCCGTTCATGTGATTGACAAGCTGAAAATTCAATTTAATGACCTGCCTCCGAGCACGTAATATGATTTTAAAGCCTGTTACGGTCAAGCAGAGGTGCCATTTGCATAATGATCCCCAGCCAGATAGGGCTGCAGCCGTTGCCATGGCAGTTGGTAGACAAGCAGAAGAATGGAGGATAGATGGGAGGCTGTGTGGGGTTTTAGTGCTGGGGGCTTGATTGCAGTAAAAAAAAAAAAAAAAAGAGCAAAAACTTGCACAGGCTTCATACTCTAAAAGGCAGAGCTTTGGGAAACGACACTGGGAACACAGACCACTTGCTGTGTTTTAATGGTTATCGATCATAGATTTGAGGTCTCTTTCCCACAAGGTTATTATGGTTTGTTATCTTTGTTCACTGTGATTTGTAATGCCGATTGTCCACGCTGTCACATGTAAGTAAACACTGCAGGTTGAAGTTTTTTTTTTTGTTTTGTTTTTTTTTCCCGGGGTGTGGTTGTGCGGTTTAACTCTGAGGTTAACTGCAGGACAGTGTTCAGAGGAAGGAGGCACAGATCAAGTGAGGATCCTCTCATCACACAGGAGCAGCAGCAGCACTCTGCCTCCTCACATCCGTTTAGCATGGAGTGCACTCTCAGCACAGCTGTGCTCCATACCCCTGGGCTCTCCTAATGTTTTAAATATTTCAAATGTCAATATCACGCTGTTTAGAGGATGTTGAGTCAAGCAGTTCTGATTGCCAGAGTAATTGACTTAATCGGTGTAAACATTAAAGGCGGGGTTATGGGAAGTCACTCTGTCTTTTATGTTATTTAAATACTTCTTTTTTTCTTTTTCCAGACGGAGATCGCCAAACGACTCAATGCAATTTTAGCTCAAATTATGCCTTTCCTGTCACAAGAGGTAAGCTTTTATTAACATGACCTTTAAAAAGTAGCTCCGGTTTTGTTTCGTTTTTTGTCAAAGACTATTAAAAAAAATCAGGTTTAGTTTTGAGTAATTGCATGCGTAAGTGGGGGGAGGGTCACTTACTTTTGCTTTATGATTCCTCGTAGTGCTATTAAAATTAAATCACAAGTTTGGCACTCTGTGAAAATCATTTCTCCTAAATTCTTCCCACAGCACCAACAGCAGGTTGCTCAGGCAGTGGAGAGGGCAAAGCAGGTGACTATGACAGAGCTGAATGCCATCATCGGGGTACGTGGACTTCCCAATCTGCCTCTCACCGTGTGTATACCCCCTTTTATTCCTTTACTTCAACTTATAGGGACAAACCTGCACAGAATACTCTCAGTAGCATATGTAGTTTCTTTTTTTATCCCTTTTTTATGATGCATTATTAATGAAAGTTAAAAAAAATGTTTAGATTTACTTATTTTCCCATTTGATTTGATCAGTGACCTCTAAATACATGCTGTACGAGTGTAACTCAGATGGTCGGTTCCTGCAGCTGTGGCTTCAGTTGTGTCCTCCCTTGTCTTGTTGTGCGTTTACAAATGTGAGCCTGAGAGCTCTCGAGATCCCCTCCGTGACTTGTACCGCTTTAATTGGCTAAGGTTTTAACGAGGAGCCTCATCCCTCACTGTTGACCTGGATAGCTGTRGGAGTTAAAAGGCTGGAGCTGAGCAGAACGCAGCCGACTTTGCAAGCTGGGCCGAGACCGTCCCAACAGCAGTCGGCCCTCGCAGCGCAGCACTGAGCGAACAGCAATGTTTGGTGTCCGTTTCTGCTTCAAAACACCATCTGTTCCTCATTGATCAGCTCTGCTCACCCAGCCTTGCAGAAGCAGAAGTGATTAGTTTCGACGCTCAGACTATCAGTGATCTTATTAGGACAGTTGAATCTTTATTATGCACAAGAAGCAGGTCCAAAAGGATGACTTTAAAGACTGGATATTGAAATAGATGTCCTCGTCATGACCTTTGTTCCAGGTCATTTGCCCTTTTTTTTAACTATGCCTGAGCATCTTCAGGTTATGGAAAGTTGCTTGTTTACCTTGTTACAAAAAACAAGCAGCAGATGTGCCTAAGAATAGTCACATTTGATTTGAAGCTCCGTCCTGTGTGGCTTTCTTCTTTAGAACATATGATACTGCTGTAATTTTGCTGTTCTTTCAAATTCGCAGCTGTGATTCTTTCTGTGTTGGTCTATATTTAAGAGTTGACCTGGAATATGTTCTGACCCTTTACATGTTTTTAGAGTATCGCTCTTGCGAGATTGTTAAATGAAATGAGGAGACTTCAGCCCAAGATGCCCCGGCTGGTCTTGTCGGGGGTGGGGGTGTGAAAATACCTCCTGTGTGTTTTACGAATACTTTCCCATCTATTATTTATTAAGGAGAAGCTCTGTAGGCATGCCAGGATSTTCATGTATATTGTAAAGTAAGGTGGAGGGTGAAAGAGCATGCCAGGCAGACAGGCAGCATCCAGGAACCAGCTGCATGTCTTATTGATGGAGCTGTGGGCCATTAATAGAATGCAACTAGGGCAGCTGCTTGCTCTGAGAGAAACCTGACTGCCAGTGCCTCCTGTTTGATTTGAAAATGCACAACATATTCAAGTCAACAGTAAAAGGCTCGCCCTCCTGCATACGATCAGGCACCTGGATTTTCTCCYGCTGTTTGAACATTTATTCGCGCTTCTGTGGCCGTTAAGAGCTGTGTAGTAGTTTGATGTTGGAGAGAAAACACCTGTAATAGCTCTGGCCTTGACCACTCTGTCCTCCTTTTCAGCAGCAGCAAGCTGCCTATCCTGCTCTCRTGGTCAGTGGAATCTATTTCTTTTTGCCTCTTCTTGTTAAACAGACTTGGTGTGTTCACATTGTGCATGCTGCATGGCACTAACCATGCCCAAGCACTGCGCCTTTCACCACATTAGCGCCTTTGTTAGCACACTTGAGACAAACTAAAATACATCAGCCTGGTTTGCCTGTGCAATCTTTTATTGTTGCTACACTTGGTGTGAAGGGTAAAAAAAGTGCAAAGAGTAGGTCTTTATCTTGGATTATTAAATTACAAGAAATGGGCCAGACTGCTTTCTTTATTTATTATTGTCTTCATTTATGGCCCTTTAATGAGGGCTCTTGCTGATCAGCCATGCTTATTACCCATCAGAGCCTCATTAAACACAATGAGCAAGGATGTCTCCCCCCTGCCAATGAACTGGCTCCTTAATTTCCCTCATGGACACAAGATTATAGCACACTCTTTGGCTCTCTCTCTTGTTTTTACTGTTTTCCAGTCTAGTCCACGGTAATTCCACATAAAGGGACGAATGAAATAAGAMAACGTCCACCAGATCATTTTCAAGTGACTTTTGAACCTGTCGAGTTTATCCACCATTTTGCTCTATGTTATGCCATCCCATGGTCATTACCAACTTCCTACTAATCATGAAATGGCCGTAAAAGGCCACTGATTAAACTTTTGTCTTGTAAAAGAGAAGGGAGCGTGTAGTAAAAACAACTGAACTACTCAGCTGGCTCATAGATGGGGTAATAAATTGCTGATGTTTTTATTGGTGTCTCRGCAAAGTATTATTTAACTTTGCTTTAAACTGCTTACTTCCATGCTGAGTGCTTTTTAACTCCCATTTATTTCCCCGTGCCTTTCAAATATTGATGGTGAATATTGGAGGCTTGACTGCGTGCCAGTGTGGGACCCCAGCTCTTGGCTCCCAGGGCGAACTTTTCCAGACGCACACTCAGAGACTGCGAGGGGAAGGAGTGCCAGCTCCTGGCACTTTAGAGTTCCCTCAGTCTCTTAAAGTTAGGGTGTGCGGTTGATTTATGTGCTGTCAATACAAGAATGCGCATGTGAGAGCGGTAAACAGACACAGTTGTGTTTTTTTGAAGTGTTTTAAAAAGCAGGTAGTTGTTTTGCCCCGAGGCTGACAGCTTAACGTTCTTTCAGATGATTGCTCAACTCAGTGATGATGCAGGAGAGCTGCGACGCTGCAATATGAAATGTGCCAGTTTGGCAGGAGTGAAATCATGTTTGTTGGCCGTGTTAAGTCGTAGTTAAAACAAACATAATGTCGTTGGGAAATATTTATTTTACTTTATTGCCCCTTGTTAACTCTGAGATTAAATATCTAAAGCCTTGTTTTATGTATTAGGTGTGTTGAGCAGAGTGTTATTAATAACTTGACTCTGCCCTGCGCAGGGCGTATGCCACCCTGGCTTTAAAAGATGATCAGCCTGATCTGTGGTGTAAAGTTTCCTCTTGGCGTTTCCYTTCAACCCACTCGGTGTTTGTTCGTCTGTGTCTCCGTCGACTTGCAGCAGCAGCAGCTCCAGGCACAGCACCTCTCCCACGCTGCCCACGGGCCTCCGGTCCAGCTGCCGCCCCACCCCTCGGGTCTGCAGCCACCCGGCCTCCCCCCTGTGACTGGTTCGGGGTCAGGGCTGCTGGCGCTCGGGGCTCTGGGCAGCCAAGCTCACCTCCCAGTGAAGGATGAGAAGAACCACCATGATCTGGAACACAGAGGTAAGAATGTCAGCTCCACTGGGCGCAGTAGAAAGTTTATTATGGTATAGAAAGTTGTCTGTTTTTCCTTAGTGGAAACGATGTTAAACAGGGTCAAGCCAATTAAGTTTGAAGTGCTTTTCACTCTGCAGAGCAGGATCGTAGGGTGAGGAGCACATCCTGTCTGTTCACATTCTATCTGGATAATGAGCTGGTGCATTCCCAGTTCATGACTACATAACCTATTCAGCAGCTCCAATACATGTTAATAAAAAGGGCCTCGTGCCCTGCAGCTGACTTGCACATGCTCAGCTTGAAGCGTTTTGTGACGATGTACTAACTGACATGTTTTCCACTTTTGCTCTCTTGGCTTCTTCGTCACTTCTTCTGCCTTCGTGACATCACCGGTACAGAGAACACGGTGAGTCTTGAGAATTGTAAATTTATTTTTTTTTAATCATTGCATTTATATATATATACATGGAATCGTAGGAATCGTATTAATTGTCAAGTGCCAAAAATTAATCGATTAATGTTTTTCTGACGATTAATCACACACGATATGATTATGCCCAACCCTAATATGTGTGTGTGTATATACACACACACATGTATATATATATGTTCTGTTCTGGTTTAGAAAAGCTCAGTGAATCGCACTGGAAGCACGCGCAGTGACGCGCTGCTGTCACAGCAGTCTATCAGGAGGAGAGTTTAGTCACTCAGAGTTGGACAGATCTGTTCGATAACAACATTCTGAACACATATTTAATATAAAGTTAGGTTTTACAGACCAAAGTTTCTGGTAGTTCAGGAGCAAAGTGCAGGAGGAGCGGAGGAGGAGGTGTCAGACTGATCGCTGCAGCAGCTTGAGTCGAGCCGGCCAGCTGTTATTTCAAAGGTTCTTATGGCTCAGCAGCAGAAGCATAAATATTACTGTTAAGAAAGCTAAATAAATAAATAATCTAAGTTTGATTATGAAAAGAAATTAAATATCTGACAGTGATCATTACAGTGTGGCTCTTATTTCCTCACTTCACCATCTGTGTCGCAGTTTCACGTCTCCAAAACAAGCGTACGCATGGGTCAGAGCTGGTGTGAGGCACCGCACATTTTCATGTCAAGTTTGGATTTTATAAATGACAACTTTGGCATGAAAAGTGGCGTACGCAAGTTTCTGGGCTCATATTGTGGGTACGCAAGTTTTACAAATCCGACCCCAGGTTCTTCTCATCAGTCCTGCCAGAATTATATGCTTGTCTCTTCAAAGATGTTCAAAGTGTTATATACAACATATAAAATAATAATTGTCCATAACGTTTCTATAGAGTCTAAATAAGTGTTGAATGGTGAACTTTAAAGCAGCTTGTGGACAGGCTTTATAGCAGTGGAAAAGAAAGCCTGATTAAAGTCAATGAGAAGACCCATTCACATGTCTTGCTTATGCTGTGCATGAAGTAAACTGCGTATTTTTCTACTCCTATCTGCTGAGACACTGTCTCGTGCATTCTCCCCAGTCAGAACTAGTTTATGTGAAGTGTAAAGATCTCTGAGCTGCATCTCTGGTGGAGCAGCAGGAAGCAACCGTTCCAACACGTTTTTTAAAGAAAGTCAAATAAAACAGACAGCAAACAAACTCATGGATGTGCACATAGGAGACAGTACGGACTGCTGCCGGCTCTCCGTTGCTATGCAGACCAGGAGGGAGAGCACCTTGAGCATAGCGGCACGTTCCCACTGATCTGTTGTTCTCTTTGTGGCATTTCTGGATTAACATCAGAAATACCAGGTCTTTCGCCTCCAACTGAACTRAAAATAAGGACTTATCAGGATTTATCCCCCTGCAGGTTCTCTTTTGTGTATGAGTACTTCATGAGAAAAAGGCCATTTCAAATTATGACAGTGAGATCTGCCGTCTCACGTCTTGTTGGAAGTAGTGGACCCTTAACCTTCATGCTAAAATAACTGTTCTCTGATTGACAACAGATTATCTTATTTCCTACACACCAAACTTTCTCCTTAAGCAGGGTAGTAAATTACAGTCTTTTCCTTTAAAGCGACATGGAAAAGAACTATGTAAACTGATGCAATGATGGTCTCTTGGCTCTGATTCTTTTCGCTGGAAACCACAAATATGTCCTCAAAAGTCCCCTGTTTCCTTGAATGTTGTTACTGTAGCAAGGGTTACCCAAGTCTGCTTTTACAGTACACGCAATATTATTCACAGGCTCCCCCTGCAATGGAAGTGCATCAGCAAATGGCTGTAAGTGCATCCAGGGCTGACATCTGTCTCGGGAGAACTGCAGACATAAGCGGAAGGCATTCTGGGTGCTGTTAAGCGAGGGCTGCTACTACACAGACCTCTTGGCTTGGCTGGAAGTCAGTAAATGACTGAGCCCACATGAATGTTGGAGGAATGAACTTGGCGCAGCAGTCAATGTCACGGCGCACTCCAGCCGCGTTCACTGTTAGCTACAATCTCCTACGCTTTGCGCGGCGGCGCTATGACATCATGAAGCAAGTAACACAATGAGGCAGAAGTTGCTATGCTGTGGCACTTCAGAGAAATGACGTAAACGCGGCTCTTGAGTTCCGTTGAGTGGGCTTTTGGTAGCTGAATACTTCTAGGTAGGACGAGGTGAATGACCCCATCCATCCACTTCAGAACAACGCTCCTCTAGGACTTGGTGCTTGAAGCAGTGAGCCCTTCACGGGGCTGTTTCTTCAGAGATGTTGTTGTTAGTCCATAAAAGCCAGGGCCGGATACTTTCAGCATGGAGCCGGCCGCCGTGCACCGCTCTCACGGACTCATTTGTTAAAAGCTGTTGTCTTTTCTTTTCCCACATGGGTGAAGTGTGTAGTTCCTGTGCACATTTTGGGGCTTAAGCCCCCTGGCTCAAGTACAATTTTCTTCCTCTTCTTAACCAAACGGTGGAATATCTGCAGATGAAAGGTTGTGCCTCTCGGTGCCTAACGGTGGACACCGAGGGGGTCATTGTCTCACCTTCCGCTGATCTACRACTCAATAGAAGGCTTTCAGCAGGTTCTCATGAAAAAGCCCCGGCTGCTCTCGACTATTTAAAGAGGGGCAACTGTTCAGACTAAGAAACAAGAGTGGCATATAAGTACTTTGCAGGAAGCTCAAAACATAAGAGCATATTCCAATCTCTACTCTGCTTGGATTGTTAAAGTAAAATGTAGAGACTGTCAATCAATATGTGGATGATGTAAATGTTTTTTATGTTCACCATCATTCATTACAAAGAAAACAGCATTTTTTAACAGCAAGGTTCTGGCACCTTGCTGATATTCAGAATAATAATCCTTTAATCACCTGAGTATTGCCAGTCGTGGGTTTTATCTGTTATGGATGTGAAAGCCCCGAGTGATTACAGCATTTGATCTGGGTAATAATGTCTTCACTGCTGCCCTGCCTGGGGCCCAGAGGCAGCACTGCTCTAATCCACAGTGCATTCTAGTGGAATTGTATTACACAAAGACCACCAGGGTTTCTCCTCTAAAAAGCGAGGGGTGGGGGGGTTGAAGGGGGGGCTAAAAGAGGAGGTTACCATGGAAACAAGCTTCTCTCGCTYTCTCCATCTCTCCTTCCCTTCTTATGCAGACACACATGCACACGTATGCACGGAATATAAGCACACTCACTCCAGGGACAGATAAGCGAAAGACAGGTGGTGTGTTTACTTTCCACGGACCCTCCAATCCCCGAGCAGGCTGAGCCCCCGATAACACGAAGCCTGTACAGTCACCGACCACCGAAAGCAGATAAGCACTCCAGCAGAGCAGAGCAGTCATCGCCCTCCAGCCAGGATGAACAAACCTGCAAGACCCGGATTCATTTGGATTAGGGTGGATTGCTGCTGCCAGTGTGGACGCCAGCGCCGCCAACRCTGCTGCCTCTGCTGTGATCAGACTACTGATGTTCACAGGAGTTTCCACACGAGAACCCGATGTTGCTCTTTACTCTCTAGAGAGTTTTAGTCAAAGGACACGGCCACGCTGGAGGACTGGATGCTATTTTAGATATCGAGATCAAGGGGGTTGTCAGCACTCGTGTTCGTGTCACTGAGGTTAAAAGGTTTCAAAACCAGAACAAGTACATTCCACATCCTGATGTGTCCTGAAGAGAGACACTGAACATTATCAACATGCTGTTTCACCTTTGACTTATGTCTACTCTGTTTATAATGGCCTTTTTTTTCCAGAGGAAGGCTGAAAAACAATCAGGAAATTCCTTTGTGTTTGTTCCAAGTCTCCACTAAAATCCAGTAATTCAACACTGGTATGGTTTTTATTATAATGGCCTGTAAAGGGACCAACAACACGCTCTTTGATGTTGAGATCAAGACAACTACAAGTACTACTTTATTATGTGCAATATGCTAAGATGCTAATTATCTTTCCACACACATTCTGTGATTAAAGCACAGCTGGAGGTGCATGAGCAACATGACTAATTACAGAGGAAATGGTGATGTTGAACTAAGGTGGTGAGAGCTGAATTTCCCTTTGGCCCCTTCTTTGCCTGTGCTGATTTTTAATTTATCTTAAAAAAACTGATTAACAACTCAACCAAGTAAAAACATATAAAAAAAAAACAGTGAGCAACTTCTCAGAAATATTACAGGTTTGTAGCCTGCATTTCCAAAGAAATTGCTATTGATTCAGCTCCATGTATTGAATATAAAGCATGAGTGGCTATTTATGTGCAGTAAATATGATGTCCTACTGTGATACTTAGAAATGTTRTATTAGAAAGAAAAACAAGTTTGTTTTTTCAACACTCAGTAATACTTACAGTAGCTGCAAAATGCCTCACACACAATGTATTTATTATTATGAACTTACAAAAGATATATAATCGTAGACTTTTTTAAGGTAAGTAACATTTCAGCACACTGGCATTTGAAATAACTTGCAAAGTATAATTTCAAGCAAACCACCAACCAAAGTGTCCTTCTTTCATCTAAAAACAACACCAATGTAAAAAAATCTAACAATGTTATTCAATCAATACTAATACTACAAACTTTTACACTGTCATCAGTTCAGAGTTAAGTTACATATGTGGATCTGTTTTATTATTTACAAGCATAAACAGCACAGCAGCAGCTAGCTGTAGCACTTCTGGTTCAGCTTGAGGCACTGCTTAAATAAGAGTGTAATGCAAAAGTGGCAGTGGTTTAACGGGTTATAAAATATCTTTCACATGAATGTTTTTTTTAATTAGCATTGTTTTAAGAGAGCAACAATCCAGTATGGTTTTGACCCGCCCTGACTCTGTTGACATTATGATCAACAAAAATTGTTTTTATAATTAAGGTCAATCAAATAGCTGTCTGCCACAGGTAAGATTTTTCTTCACTGAACCCTATTTTAACAAAACCTAATTATCCCTTTTCATCTTCCTAAACAGAAATATTTACTTTCACACTTTTGTAATTTTAGTAAAAACTAAAAGATCAATATCATGGTATTTTCCATGTAGCTCTTGTCTATTTAGCTTGAGTATCCACAGAACAATATTAGGGTTTATTTTTATGAAATTTTTAAAGAATATATGTAATATATTTTGAATGTAGTGAAAAGTCTAAATAAATGTCAAAGTATATGCCCTAATAAAACTGTTGTTAAGTTTGCAAAAACACATCAAGTCTAAAACGTATGGTCAATAACCCACCAAAATATGAGAATATTCTTACTTACCCTTGTTCAGTTTAAGCTAATAATAATTGATGTAATATGTCCTTTCAAACAGGCACATTTCCTGCCAAAATAAAAATAGCAAAAGTCATTCCTTTTTATAAAAGTGGGGATAAATATCAATTCTCCAATCATAGCCCATTCTCTCTTCTCTTTCAATTCTCAAAAGATTTAGAAAAACTATTTTTGCAGCAACTTGACAATTTCATGGAAAAACGTTTAGTATTATCTGACTGTCAGTATGGGTTTGGAGCAAAAAGATCAACTTCAATGGCAATAATGCAGTTAGTAGAAGATGTAGCAAATGCAACTGATAAAAAGGAGTTTACTGTTGGAGTGTTTATAGACTTCAAAAAAGCTTTTGATACCATAGATCATGGCTTACTGTTAAGTAAATTGGAACGATATGGTGTGAGAGGACAAGCCCATTCATGGATAAAAAGTTATTTGGATCATAGATATCAATATGTACAAATAAATAATGTGAATTCTGATTTACTGAATGTAACCTGTGGAGTACCACAAGGGTCTGTACTGGGTCCAAAACCTTTTTTATTTTATGTAAATGATCTTTGCAATGTATCTAAATTACTAACATTCACCTTATTTGCTGATGATACTACATTATATTGCTCTGGTAATAGTTTGGAACAGCTTCTGAATACAATGGAAATAGAATTAAAGGTAAAAAAAGAATTGGTGTGGCAAAAATAAACTATTACTAAATCATGATAAAACAAAATATATTGTATTTAGTAATAAATGAATAAAAATGATATAAAGCTGAAGATAAATAAAATAATACTAAAATAGAAAGAGTATACGAAATTAATTTTTTAGGAGTGACACTTGATTACAAATTGCATTGGAAAGCTCATATTGAAAATGCAAAAGCTAAAATGGCAAAAATATTGCAATATTAAATAAAATAAAACATTTTCTAAATTTAAAAACATTATATATGTTATATTGATTAATACTTCCATACATGACTTACTGTGTGGGAATTTGGGGAAGTTCCTATAAAACCAATAAAAAACCTATTTATATGCTTCAGAGGAAAGCTATATGAATTATAAATGCATTAGATTATTGTCATCCAACAAATGAAATATTTATCACTTTGCATACTTTAAAATTTTATGATTTAGTAGAACTTAGAACAGCATTGACAATGTACAAAGCATATACTAAAGTCCTTCCACATTGTATACAGACGTGGTTCGAAATTAAAGAAACAAATTATGAATTCAGAAAGATTTATTTAGAAAAACAAAGGTTAGGAC